TACCCTGGATATGGTCCCCATGGAGGATACTCTTATGGAGTTATTCGGTGCAAAATTTGAGAAGCAATTAAGAGATTTCCATGAAGTTTTTAACATTCTCGAGGGGCTTTCAGAATTATGTAACAGTTCAACGACCTCTCTTGGTGATGTCAGTGAGCGGTAGCTGGAGCTAGAAGATCTCTGCAAGAAACGTGAAATCCGTGGAATTGAATTCGATGAGATTCTCACTCCTCAACTACTCACTGCAAACTTTCTCCACAATGTTTATTGTGGGCAAAGTTTCGAACCCTCAGGTAATACCACTAGTATCAAAATGCAGCAGATGATGGATTTTTTGGTGGAGGCTTTGGATCCAGAGGCTTTAAAGTCACTGGGGGCATACCGAAGGAAAGATGGAATTTTTCGTAACTTCTTCAAAAAAGCAAAATCCTTATTGGAATACATTTTGGGATGTAGCCAAAGATTTTCATCCTCAGTTGAGTACTTTTGCCAAAAAATTACTTCGAGTACCAGTCACAACATTGGAACTAGACTTCATCGATCTTTCAGACGATCAGTTAACCCCCAATCGATATCGAAAGTACTTTGATGTACATCATCATCTGCGACTGCAGCAGTGACATTCCTTAGACTCGTTGATGCCCCTCCATTATCGTACTTTATTATTAATTTTTGTTTAAGCCCCCACAGAGGGATTTCCCGAAAAGGTGCTCGGTGGACATAATCGAGAGAACGTGGATGAATCTCGAAAAACACAATAATGTGCAAACCAAAGTATTATGTCTAATCATATTGTAGGAGGTAAAATACTAATATTTATAAGCTGTGATATATGATATAGTTTATCATAACAGTGATTAAATGGTTTCTATATGAAGGTTCAAAGTTTGATAATTAAAAAGAGTTTACATAAAATTATACGTTCCCTTAAGAGAATTATCATAAAATAGAAAAAATAAACATATCAGATTCTGTGAAACATAATTCTTTATTTCCAAATTCCTTTCGTCACTTAGCAAAATCCATTGGCAATTATGACACATAAAGATTTACATAAAGTTGATCACTATAGTTTTCTAGAGATTCGGTTATTTATAAGGTAGAACAAGAACCAATCAATCCTCTTCATACCCCAAAGTATAGTCATTATTGATATCTTCCATTTTAAAAGCATAATAAATTGTAACAAGTTTCATCGAGCGTTCTGCACTCAAACGATTTCGTAAATCGGAATGAATAAAAGCCCAGTGTGAAAACAGTCTCTCAATTTGTGCGGATGAACTGGGAATGTTCATCAGTTTCAGAGCCAGTCTTGACAGAACAGGATAATAAACTTCCATCAAAGTCCAAAATGTTTTCGGACATTGAATGTTCTTTTTAAGAACTATAAAGACTTTCCCTTTTTGATCTGTATAATCCTTGAGCTCTATCATCCCTTCTTCATCCAACTCTTTTTTTCAGGAATGTTGCAACTTTACGATTGAATTCCTCTAGGTGAGAAAATTTTTTCCGTCGATAACGAGGGTGTAAAAAATTGGCAGCTAGAGCAATTGGTTGCAGGACTTTCTCTAAGCGAGCATCCAGAGTTTTATTGACTCTATTCTCGTTCACAGGGATATTTAATGAAAGCCAAAGTTCCGCTGCATCAGCACTGGTACAGGCAGACGCTTGACATTTGTTGACAAGCTCACACACAGGGTCAAACATGACAATACAGTCTTGTAATTGGGCTTCTAATGCACTGTCGTTCAACAATTCACGACTTGTCTGCTTCAAGATAACAATTCCCTCTTTCACTAACCGGCGCATGATGGGGAGGTTCTTCAAACAACAGCGGAACGTGTCTCTGTATGAACACCATCGAGTCTCACAAGCCAGTATAATCCTGGTTCCTTCACGTTTCTTTAACTCTCTTTCTGCATGAGGGGTCTTAAATTCTCGTAGTAATTTGTTAATCGACTCAGCAAATTTACCATCGACGAGTGATTTTAACAACAAATTCCCACTGTGAGAGTCACAAGTCTTGTGCCAGACTTCCACCAGAGAACTCATCCGCATCATTGATGAAGCATTGTCACTGACAACAGCATAGATATCAATGTTGAAATTCTGCTTAGCCATAGCAACAGCTTCGTCGATCACTCGAGCTAATTCATCTCCAGTTTCCGGTAGTTGACTAAAATCCCAAGAGTGCAGAAACATACTGTTTCCATCTTGAACCTGGACCTCTCTCTCCGGATGGTACAAACTACGTGCTTTGTATTTGCTGATGAGTTCTTCTACCCATCTATCAGTAAAACACCATTGGTTGATTCAGAGTATTTCAAATTACTGATAACTTTATCGTGAACTTTGTTCAGCAGCTTTGTTGCTAGTTTTTTCCTTGATGGAACTTTATACGATGGGTTCAAAGTGATTACGAACAGTTTGAATAACTCACTTTCAACTACATTGAACGAGATATTGCACCCGAAGAAAAATTCGGCGAAAGCCAGATCAATGCGATCTGCCTGAAAAAAACACGTAATAGTTTTTTAAAATTACTTTTGTTCTCTTCAATTTCTATCATCCTATTTATCATGTTCAGTGATGTTACCTACATTCAGAATCTGTCTCTGTGCTTCTGGTTGACGTAGCATTATAATTTATTCACCTAATGTTATTATTTCGGTCGACTCTTTGTACAATATGAGGTCCTTTTGTATTTATTTCACTCAGTAATTATCAAATATGGATTTTAAAATATAAATTTTAACTTAATTGTAATGACTTTGGAAGGAAAATTTTTGGTTTATTAGGTTTATTACAATTTCTGACAATTATCGACGCTCTGTCGGTAAATTACCGTTTCTGACCATGTCACGTCAAAAACCTTATTTGCCGAGATTTTCCCAACCCTGGGTGTCAACAATGAACTGGCGGTTTCGTAGCATGGCGGGCGGGAACGCGGTTAGCGCCCCGTCTTGCAACTAACTCTAGTGACTTTTGACTCCCTAGCGCGCGAAATATCAAATACGGCAGACCTACAATAAAATGACTCTTGATATGATGAACGGTTTTCCTCATCCAATACATTCTCACTAATTAAGTGCGCGTATTCAGGATGGTTTTCTCACGGGATCCCGGGATCAGAACGAATGAAATTACCTAAATCCTAACTTTCCCTCAATAATTAATTCTTATCAATTCTTTAAGTTCTAATTTTCCCAAACCCCAAGCAACCTGACTACTTAAGAGTTCCTCATGGTTGCACTAATTCCCTCCTGACCTGTCACCGAAACCCTTACCCTAACCTGTTCTGCCCCGTAAATCCCTCAATTTGAGCGATAATATTCCAGTTATTCCTACACCTAACCTAAATCTAACCGCTCAGCTCGGTATATTTTGGCTTAAGACGCGATTAAATAAGGAACTTCACCTAATTAATTTTTATTTCTCGAAATTTTAATTCAGTATGGGGCGATAATTCCCAATAATTCTTCACTAAAGCTCAATAATCTTAAAAGTTAATATTTTTGGCGTGAAAACGCAATCAAATTTTCGCACTAAATAAGGCGAGATACGCAATACAAATTCTCATTAATTTTAGGCATCAGAGATGCAGTTAAATCCTCAATTTTTTCTGGCTCGAAACCTCAATTCTGGACTCTAATGGGTCTTTCCGTGCGTACTCACGATATTTTTAACACTTTTCTCGATGGTCTCGATGTTTGAAAGGAAATTTCCCAGATTTCCTTACATGGTTGACATTTTATGCCTGTTTGTTGGCCCATACGGAAGTTCTGGGGTATTAAACATTAAAATGGATATAAAATATCATGTCACAAATGTCATGTCACAATATCATGTTAATGTGAGAGTTCTTTCAGCATTTCATCTAATAATACGCAATGGAATTGTATTACCGTTTGAAAGCTAGGAGAATGAACTTTTATATGAGGTGACAATTATTTTGCTGTTGAAATAATACTCCGATTTGTGATCCCGTACATTACGAGTTTGGAAACGTAAATTACAAGATAAAATCACGTCAATTATGCCCAAAAATGCAGTAAATTACGAATTGAATTCGTCAATAACCCATATCGTGAATTACAAGTTTCGACCCCGTGAATTACGAGGCCCCACCCTGTAATTTACGCTTCCGTTGCCGTCATTTACGATATCTCAATAACGTAAAGTTTATTAGGATCGTAAATACAGGGAAACATAAAAGAAAAACTTTTTTGGGCAACATCAAATCTTCAGGTTTGACTATATTTTGGGTTGTCTCAACATGACTTATAGTGACTGTCGCCCTAGTAATAATAAGAATGGATATTAAATAAATATAAATGAACTAAAAATTAAACAATATAAATTTAATAATAATCTAAATAAATATGGAGGGAAATTTATATGGGCGATTTTTATTTCCAACTATATGAATCGTGCTATAGTCTCGTGGTTAGTCATATTTTAAGTTAGTAAAATCGATTCTTTCAAGCGTTGTTGAATTAGGATTCATAAATTAGAGTATAAGTAATCGGAAAATGAGCATAAGATGTATTAATTACTTTTTTTTGCTATAATTTTCAATACCATCTGGCAACTCACCTACTATAGGTTTTCCCATCGTCAGCCATGGTCCATCACTTCTATTTTTGTTCCCAAAATTGCGCCCAAACATTGCAACCCAATATTGTACTCGACATGACCCCAATGGTTGGCCTGTCATTGTTTACCATGATCGGCCCATCTTTACCAGCTAAACGTTGGACCAATGATCGACTATTCAATTTGCCAATAGCCCGCCAGTACTGGCGATTGGCATACCAGGCTTAGACCAAAGCTCGACCAATACTGAAACCTACCTGGGATGTACAGTTAATAAAATTTTCAATCAATCTGTCAATTAATCGATCCAAACGGTCTTATTGGTTACATGAAAATCCTCAAGTAGCTTATAATGATTTTCTCAAAGAATAAAATGAATAAATGCATATAAAATAGATAAACGTTTAAGTTAGCTTTATTAATCCTTTAAACATGATTGTCGGTCGTCCAAAAACATCAATCCCGTTGGGACGCAGTAGACTGCGGTGATTATGAGGTGGTTTAGGTAGTTGTTGAATGATGCAGGCATACGGTCGTGTGTAGAAATATTTCTGTTTTAATGCCTGAAATCGAACCATATATTTTTTATTTCTGTAAAAACTGAAATACGCATCACGTAATTCTTCATGCAGGTATATTCTATGAAATCCCTTTACATCATTCGCTGTCAATCGACTGGATGAGTTGTAGACCAACATATTCCGAATGATATGCAGAGCTTCTGAAGTAGCGTCCGGGATAACTTCCTCCCATAGCATCCCCTTTTGATAGGGAAAAGTAATTTTATTGTAGTCTGGTAAAGAATGCAGATCTGGCCATGTTTCCACTGTTGGAGTACCAAGCTGCCGCAGTACCATTGCTAATTGCTCAATATCTGAGTCCCCCTTTAAAAACCAAAGAAAAATATATACAAATTTCCTTTCAAGATCATCGAAATGAGTATGTTTTTGAGTATCTTAATATATACATATATAGAGGGTGTCCGAGACAAAATCGTACACCCAAATAACTATTGAATGTGGGTAGTAATCGAAAAATCTTTTAAATAGAAGTTGTAGGGTTCCAAGTGGGAAAAATAATGAGATATGTTTTGAGCATTTAAGTCTTCATGTTTTTATGCTACAAGCATAAGATCATTTTTTTCATATGGGATCAAAAATTTTCTTGTAACAAAAGTTGTTGTACTCGATAAGATGAATCTAATGATGTCACACATAATGTGTTTTTTATGCTTTCTGAGCTCAAAAATACTAAAAATGGAACTTGTCAACGATATTCCACATTCAGACACGATAAACAGAAAAATAAAGGAGAAACAAAAAGGCGCCAATGGATTGTTCTACTAGAAAGACGTTACAACAAGTGCTCAATGTTCC